AAAATTATTCAAAACATTATTTAATCCTGTGTAAACTTAAATAATTTAATAATGGATTTTAAAAGGATGACATAGAATATAATTAAAATGACAAATTGAATTGTAAACAATTGTTACTATGATAACGATTTAATGCCCTATACGAGCTTCTAGTCCCATTTTTATCTCTTTGTGTTAATTTCATCCCAATTTTGTTTAGAACTTTTAAAGAGGATCAAATTCGTAATACATGATTTTTGCGTAACTTTCACTGTTTACGCCGCGCACGCAAGGAAAGCTTTAGAAAAGTAAAATATACATCCGTTTATGCAATATTGTTGCTCCACTCCTATAAGACATAGCGTGATGTTATATATGCCTTTCTAGATAAATGGTCTACACAACACGAAAAAAAAAATTCAATACGTTCCAGAATCATAGAGTTCAATTAATTGCTCAAACAAACAAACTCTGCAGCTTTATTATTAGTACCTATATAATGTTTTATAGTTTTAACTAGGTTAATAAAGGAGGAGAATATCAATTATAATGAATATATTTTTGTATTATACTCTATCTTATTTAATAGATATGACAATTATTTTTTGTTTATTTTGAAACAAAAAAAAACTAATAAAAACAACAATAAAAATATCTGACTAATTGATTTTGTAAATCTTATTCTGTCAGATGGGTTGGATTATATAAAGGAAAAATTGGAAAATCCCGTTTGTTAGTGAAATGCTGACTGTTATTTATTCAAATTGACTAAAATAGAGAATATTGTGTAGCTACAAAGTGTTAATAAACTTTTGAAGACCGGTGGTTAAAACATGTCAAGTTGATCTTCGACCGAAATTAAGATAAGTTTGTTGAATTTTCAACCATATTCGTTGTTATTACGAATTATATTTCCATCTTTTGAAGTCCGAAAGAGAAAATTATTTGTAATATATACACAATAAAATAGTTTAAAAGAAGATTAATTTAATCCTTTGAAGTCTGTTTTAGTTTTGTAGTAAAAAGATTATTTATAATTATTATTCATGTTGATATTTCGATGATAGGATAAGCGATATATACACTGACAGATTGTAGAGCAAATTATATCGTCGTCGGAGCATGTGCCCACTCCAGAGTCAGTGGAGCTTCTAGACAGGGGTGGACTTTAATTCGACTCACTACATTATCGATGAATAAACACTCGATGACAAAGGGGAGGGTGTACTGCGAATTAGTTTTACGAAAAGTAAGTTTAGTTTTATTGTTTCGAGCTTTCATGGTCAATCATATTAGAATGATAGTTTTTTTTTAAGGGATTGCTATCGTACCGTTGATTGCTTTTATGGAGTTTCTGATACTTCAGCGCTGTTGCAAAACCAAAATATCGCGAATCCAATTCAATTTCAAAATCTTAATTCAGAAACGATACTCACTTTACAACATATTACTTTTTCTGGTGAACTAAAGTTTCTTAATCTTTCGATTTATTTATTAAATATAATATGTTTCTATTGTCCTTATATCTGAAAACTATGTGGTGTACGATAGTTACACGCGATGAAAGGAAATCAGTGATTTTTGAGTCTTTGTTGAAATTGTAAAAGTTAGAATTGTGTATAAAAGTATTTTTTTCTCATAGAAAAATATTAAAAAAATTCATTCGAACCTCATATCAGGCCTGGGATTCTGTAAAAATCTGAACGCGAATTCGAATTCACTCATGTGTCTGAATTTGAACCTTGAATTGGTTATAACGTTCCGTGACATAAGTGAAGTGATTTTTGAAACAACATAGAAATACTATATGTCTAACATATTGTATTTCACTGAAGAATCAATCAATCTCATTTTGTATATTTATATTAAAATGGAACTAATACAATTTCTGCACCAAATTACGTGATTCGGACACGTGAGTGGATTCGAATTCGGATACGGATTTTTTACAGAATCGCTGCCCAGGAGGCGGGAATCAAACTTCTCACTTAATAGAGCGACTGTTTTACCAAATAAGGTATCTGAAAACTTATCGAAATTATTGAATTTCCGTTTCTATATGCTTTCAACTTTTTCAAATATACTATGTTATTACACTAATAAAGCTGAGTAATTTTTGGAATATCTTAAGCATAAATATTTTTGAACAAAGTTTCTACACAACTGTACTGTCAGGTATTACCTACGAAAATTATACAGTAGTTGAATTAAAATTAAAACAAGCTCTGTGCTCATGGTTTAAAAAATATTATGGCAAAATTAGTAAGTCTTACAACTAATTAGTAAAAATAAACGGTTATGCTTAATAATTTCTTTATTTCGCTTTTCCAATAATAGTCAACTCAATACAAATATGTGAAAAGGTAAACTTAAAGCTTAAAAATCAATGATTATTTTATAGAAGATTGTTTTTACAATTATTTGTATTTTTTTTAGAAGAAGAAATTCTATATAATCATACTATAGAAGTTTTCTATATTGTAGAATTTAGAAGAATTAATGAATTTTTTCTTAAACACATTTTATTCATGTTTAATCATTGTATGGATGTAATATTCAAGGATGGATAATATGTAGTAATCAAGTGATGTTTGTATTTTAGTTCTATTGATTCAGTGTATATGCCAAAGAATAGTCTTAAAATACTTGTTATAATTTGAATTATTATATTAGGAGTTTATATAATCTTAATGTAAAAATGACATTATTTTTCCCATTTGAGTATTTAATGTCAATAAAATCCCAAGAATTAGTTACATCAATTGACCATAGTATTAATCTTTTACAAAATAATCATTAATTATAATAAAAGATTAACAATAAGTAACAAAACAATTCAACAATTATTCGAGAATAAACAAACTTAATTAATAAGATTACTCTAGGTTCGGTTCTGTTGCATATTAATCAAAATTAATTTTATATAACAATCAATTAATTATTCGATTAAGGCGCCTTCCTTATTGGAAAGATTTGTAAAAAAACGTGTTGCTTTTTTCTTGCTTTTATCTTTGATATTTTTCCAAAATGGTGGACGCACAGGCCATTTTCCTTCTGGCCTAATATATTTCTATGTTTACTTACGTTTATCTACTAAAATAATAATTTTGCTACCACTTTTTTTCAGTGGCGGCAAACAAAGTGCATTCCCAGTTTTAGAGCTTCAATAAAATAAAATATATTTCAAAAGATAATAAAGGTTTTATTCGATTGAAGCTGGGACAGCCCTATTCGAGCTACATTCAATACTCTTTTATTTTAGAATAGCAAAGATGAAATTAATTGAGATATTGTGCAACAGCAACGGACCCAGTGATGAAGTTTTATACTTGTCCCACCTTCTAAATACATTCTAAATATTTTACTGTTTTTTTGCCATTTTTTGCAGTATTTTTCCATTTACAAGTAAACAAGGAAATATGAATTCGGCGGGAAAATAATTTTTGGTTTTTTAACTACTAACTCTAATTTATCTAGCATATGTACAATACATATTGTAACAATAAATTTGCGCGTCATATCAGCTCTCAAACAGTTCTAATTTAATAAGTTGTCATTTAATAACATTATTATTTTTAAAAATAACAGAATACTGAAAACCTTAAAATCAAATTAATAAAGAGAGACATTATTTCGAAACATAAAACAAAACAATGTATAGAAAAGTGGATGATAAAAACTAATATACATATGTTAGGTTGGTATGGCGTTTTTTAAAATTATAATCAATTAATAAAAAAAAGGAAAGTAATTTAACAAGAACATTTTTCATAGTTTTAAACTTGTAAGATTTAATTATTTAATTATGTGATTTAAAAAGAGGCGAGAAAAAGGTACTTCAAAAGAGGTTGCTTGTCTTGGCTAGTCCTGATATATCATTAGTAAATTTTCTGAGTAAATTTATCCGGGTAAAAGTAAGGTAAATAATATAAATAAAAGTAAACAATACTATATTTATAGGAGAAAACTCTGTTGTGCCGATCTCCATAAACTAAACAAATCGAATTTTAGTTTAGATTGGCTTTAACTTTATTTCGTAATCACATGTTATCCGTGAATTATAATTATACTTATTTTGATAAGTTTTCTGAAATAAAAAAATAATATAACCATTGAAAGTGATCAAAATACATATATTGGATTTTACTACGAAAAGTGACTTTGAAATTGACGACAAATATTATAACTATCTTTTTCTTTCTAGATATCTAAGTCCTATGATATGTTATCTATTCGGAAAGTGATATTAAATTCTATACATTGCACAAAATAACATTTTGATTGCACTCTACAGTCATTATTATAGGTAAATACATTCTTTTTATGCCGATTCAGTTAAGAAAATCAAGCATGTGTGTGCAGACATGTTGTTTTTTGTGGGGAATAAGTTCATTTCTATATGATGATAATTAGGTTTGGAGTGAGGCGAAGTGGAGTAGAGAGTTATGTGGTGAAAGAACATAAGTTGTTACGATCTTTCATACATACGTTTCAACCGTATAAGGTTTGGTAGATCAATCTACCTCACTTCACTTCGCTGTGCTTCAATTGAGTGTTGCAACTGCATTAATTATTCTATATGTAAGTCATCGATGAAAAATTAGTTTTCAACCTTAAGCTTTAAGCTCATAGACTGAATATCTGAAAACATATTTTCATATCAACAAAATTATTATTGCACTTCACAAACAACAAATCGAATTAAAACTCCTTTAGCGGATTAGACCAGTTAACATATATACCGCGACTACTAATAGAAAAAGGTTCATAGTTCCGTCACTTCAAAAAAAATATACATTTCATCACTCACCAATTCCACAACAGACCAATGTTACAGCGTAGTCTATTAAATAGTCCTCAGTCTCACTTATTATCATAATGATATAGTATTAATCTACATAACAGTATGTACAGCAATCTCACACACTATCAGGCGAGCTGTTATCCCTGTCCCCTGAGGTGGATGGTCGCTCCCAGTGTGTGGGCGGGGGCCACGCGCGGGCTGGGAGCGCCACCGGCCTTCATATGACGTGCTGTGGTGGTTCCTCGTCACTCTTCATAAGTACGTATGCTAAGGGACGTTTGACGTCAGCGGGAGGCGACGGGCTCCGGCGAGGGGGACAGCCGCACGGTGACAGCGCGCTGTTGTAGAGTGCGCTGCTGTATAACGCGCCTCCGTACAATGCCTAGTAAAAGAAACATTATTATTAACGATATCAAAATAAATACTATGTAGGGCCGATGATCCGGTTTTGGTAATTTTTAAGTTAATGACCCAGTTTTGGCTATTTATAAGTTACGGGGAAACTTTGACACATCATAACTTGCAATTGCATTAGTTTTGTTATTACCGTTCATGATAAAGTAATATACGAAAGTGCCAAATAGCCAAAAAGGGGGCAGTGGCTAAAACCGGGCGTTCTGCCCTGTCCTGCTCTTATATCTTCTGGTGAAAGAATACGCTGCATATATGTGAATGAAGTTCTTGTTATTTTGGGTAATAACGACTGGTACTTAGATGGAGGATATTTTTTTTATATCACAGCTCATCAATGCTTTAGATGGTGGGAATACCAAGTACATATCTGGCGGAAGATCTGTCGAGCGTGACGACGGAATTATTTATTGAGCGTCACATTAGATGGTACACCATTAATGATACACGACGATATGCACTAACCCTAATAGACTGATGACGATGAGTTAGTATTGACTCAATTTATATCAGTTGGTAGTGCAATATTTATCAACAAATTTTTTTAAATACAAATATCTATGTATATATAATTTTACATGCATACATACTGTTAATTCATCACCGTAGAAGGTTAGAAAATTTTGGTTTCTACTTTGTTTTACCTGTAAATGTGCTAACTCCGCAGCTAACTTGCCATCGTCGGACGGTATTTTCGCAAAAGGGTAGAAAGGGTACGGCAATGGCGGGAACAGAGCTCGCCCCAGATCGGGTTTGTCTTGCAGCAGGTGATGCGGCATCGGCAGTGCCGGTATCTGGTGCGGCACGGTGGGTGCCACCAGCCGCGGCACCGGTGCCATCAGTCCGCTGATACCGAAACCGAATTTCGGCTCTTTCTTCACTAACGCTTTCGGCTTTCTTCGTGGCCGGTATTTGTAGTCCGGGTGTTCTTTCATGTGGAGCGCTCTGAAAAGAAAAATAGTGATTAGAAAACAAAATTTCATTTTAATTTTCATCTGTAGTATCTAACTAAAGATGCTGAGTAGAAGTGTAGGCGTAAGTTGTAAATTAAAACCGAGAATTATGCGAAACATAAAGATAATGCGAAATTTTGTTGATCACCTATGGGTGGAAAAACAAATTTGCATGAAACTTGCTGTAACTCAAAAAGAAATTCATAGTTTTTGTCGGCTCATCCATAGGATTCTAGCTATATTAGTCTGTAAAGAAATTTGGAAATTCCTATAACATTATTGTACAAAATATTAACCGAATGTGGCAGCTCTACATCTACATTCTGCTATAATTATGTCAATATCCCCGATCGATTACCTACTTGGTCTAATCAAGGCTTTATAACTGGTTGAGAACCAACTTGTGGTTATACCTGGTGAATAATATTGATTAATGGTTGTAAATAATGAAACAGCAAGTAATTAGTATAGCGTAAGACAATAGTCGATTTATAGACAGTATTTTGGGCATGTTCCTTCACCGATCACAAAGTTCGATATGAAGTAGTTATATTATGACGAGGCTTTTTAGGGTTCCATACCCAAAGGGTAAAATTGTCTGTTTGTCACCAGGCTGTATCTCATAGACCGTAAAAGATAGACATTTGAAATTTTCAGAGATGATGTATTTCTGTTACCGCTTCGACAACAACTACTAAAAACTAGAATAAAATAAATATTTAGAGGGACCATACAAACTTTTTTTGCTCGTTCACGGCGCGCGAGTCCGTCTTGCACTTGGGCGGTTTTTTTTTTAATTAAATAGGACAGAGTTTCGAGTAGATATTATTTACATTAATATCTAAATTCACGAACTTATCATAAGAAAGAAATAAATTAAGTAAAGTAAAGTTATTTAATGCCAATTATCTCTCATTAACGCCGACCTCATTAAACTTATCTTTAGAAAAAGGTTCGCCACCCCTGCTGTAAGCTAACACACATAACATGGTATATTATGGCAAATTTCATTTTTATTCATTAATTATACAAAATAACATTTCTTTATAAAATACTAGTTACTGTCGTGCATCTTTGTATGAAATACTAAGCTTTATGTGCGGCTTCGCTTGAGTAACAGGTACTTTACAAATTTTTTGTCCATTTGTAGTATTAAAATTAATGTACTTTTGTTCAGAGTTTGACCCTTGAATTCATATAAAATCATCAAGTTCTCGTTTTCTTATTATTATTTTTTAATGCTAACACTATTCAAATCAAACACAGCACATAATTGTTATAGATTTTGAGAGAAATTTAAAATGGATAGACTTTCCTGACTGATTTTAGCTTCTGCCCTTAAGTTACTAAACTTGTATGATAAAGGATATTTCGATATCATATCTCACCAACAATACCATAAGTTTAGTGACAAAACGCCACAATGAAACGCCACTGGGTGAAATAACATTATTATTTATGCAATAATGCGCACAATTGTCGCGAACGGCGGCCGCCCTTAAAACAACAATGTCGAATCAACAATGCGCGGATTATTGCATTGTCCGTGTGACAATCGTGGTTCACAATGCATCGCGTCACTATCAAGCAAACAATGCTGATTAAATTGAACCCTTGTATTAAAACTTTTAAGGTTGACATTCGTTTAGTGATGCTTCGACGTATAAGTCTGTTAGAGGTGTGGTAACATTCGTCAGTGTGTCCGATTATGCGAGCTTTGTGATAGAATCGTGCGATTGTCAGCGAGTCGATTGTAATTATTCGGGTGGTCCGGCGCGGCGGGCGAGTAGTCGAGTGTGCTAGCGAGCGCTGTTTGTTCCAATGTGTTGTGTGCCGTCGCGATGATTAGGCGTATTGTTCAATGTTATTAGAGCTGTAGGTCAATTGGAATATACATGTTTTGATCAAAAAAAAAAAATAGATATATTGAGGGATCATCGAAATATAGGTATTTACTACTGGTTATCGTGAAATCAAACTTTATTACTAAGATATTAAGAAAATTGAATTCAACACATAGTATACTTAGTAATCGTTCTTTGTGTACATTGCTATAAAAATGCTCTATATTATGAGTGTAAATAATAACAACTAAATTAACTAATTAAAGATAAAAAGACAACATTAATATAATCAATAAACACAATTCAAATATTTGAAATCGGGGTAAAACATTCGAGTCTTTACGAGAGCACAGCTATATCGTAGAAGCAAAATATAAAAAAATACGATTGATAGCTTTATAGTAATAAGAAAGAAGCGTAAAAGAGCTTTGCGCATAAATAAGGAATTAAATAATAAATAAAATAGGGACCTATCAAGTTATATTAAATTTTCTTAACCTTTTTTTTCTATAGTTTGTAAAATATATATAAACATTTTTAATTAATTTATGGGACAACTATTAATTCTATGCTGTGTACAAATTTTTCTGGATTGTAGTCTAGATCTAAATTATATTGTCAAATATGTATTTAATTTTTAAGATTGTCTGTTCTGGTTATCTGTATAGAAATAAATAAGAATTAAATTAGTTAAGGCTTAAGGTAAAAGATGTCATTTCCTTTCCTTATTAAATCTAGCGATATTAGTCTGTAAAGAAAATATCAAAATAAAATAAAAAATGTTTATTCTTCATTTTAATTCACAATTTAGAATATATCATTTCTCCACCTTTTAAGTATTATTATATCTGTTTTTCAAAAGATATCGCTCTTCCTTTTACTTTACACAGTAAAATCTCAGAATAATTTTTGCATTACCATATTTGTATCAGATTTTAAGAAAAATAAAATGATTAAATATCATTATAATATAGCTATCAAAAAGAAAAGTGCAATCGTATTATTAAATGAGGAAGTTTTAAAAAAATAAAAATTAGTTCTTGAAATTATACTAGATGTCACTCGGGATGTTTGGATTTTGTTTATGATATTCATTCAAATTTTATTTCTTTTATTATTTTATTCGTAAGTTTAAGTTGTTTATTATGTTACGTGTAAAGGAACGATGTTTGTTTTATACGTCAACATTAGTGATGAGCCAACTTATTGGTTGCTCGTAACTTCCATCCGAATTTAGGTTTGGAAGTAAGAACAAAAGGCGGAGCGCAGAATTCAGCTTGTATTTGTATGTGTTATTATGTATCCACAAAACGAATGATATTAATATAAATATCAATATCAATTCAGTCTAGGCTGTTACATATTATTTGCGAAAGTCGTAAACTTTGCCAATGGTTCGCGAAACTGACAAGAATCGGCAAAAAACTCAGCAAGGGCTGCTTTTTTAATTTCAATTATACAACTTAACTATACTATATTTGAGGGAACGTAACGACCAAACGCACGCGATACCACTGCAGAGATATTAAGAGAGCATGACTACTCTAGGTACATACTTAATAATTTTCTGAAAACCGCGTCAAAATCGTGTTTAAGTGCGAACCTCCATTTTTTTACTCTGTTAATATACCTAAAACCTTCTCCTAAGTCTGACAAATACTATGCTGCAAATTGAGGTAACAAATATCACACATACTTAATGCAAATTTAAGACTTATATGGTTTTCTCATTGAAGCTATTGCCAAAAAAATCATCAAAATCGGTCCACCCAGAAAAAAGTTATGAGGAATCAAACAGAAAAAAAACCTCCTCCTTTTCTTGAAGTCTGTTAAAACAAAAGATTAGACGCAGACACGCAGAGAGTAGATGCTTTAGTGGGTATTATCATCCTTGGTCAGACTAGCCTTGAGGTGGGTCCGTGCATAGAGTTAGAAACTAACGTGGGTCCGTGTGGATGGAGAGTCCATACCTAGAAGCCTGTCTTAATATTTTTAGTAGGTAACAATAATTAACACCCAAGTTTAAAAAGTTTCAACATCGCGTAGCACTTGGCTTTATTAAACCTTTCAAAACTATCCATTCAATTTAATATTTATTCAAGAGTTATTCAATGATTTATAACGCATCAATATACGAATACATCGATATAGGAGACGCCACAGTTCATTGACCTGCCACTATCAATTCTTCATTACTTTGTTTGCCAGCCAAATAACGACAAACCCAAAGAAAACATTATCGTAGAAAAAAACCTATCTCTCGCTTGATGCACGTTTTTATCGGACGTTTTTTGACGATATTTTCTTAAGACTTAATCGAATTCGGTAAATAACTATTCGATATGATAGAGATATGAAGAAACGCTTTATGTGTTCGAGTAGATATTGAAATTGGTCAGCAAACACGTGGTATGTGCGTCGTATTGCTGTTTTTTTATTACTTCTCTTATATTATTGCGTCATTTTATGGTAGATGTGTAATGTTTGTTTGTAAGTATCTTTTATATGATCAAGGTTTATTAAATCGGTATATTTGTTGAAATTACATATTTTTTGCATTATTTTGTCATTTATTCTTTGATATTATACGATTGTATTCATAGAATATTACTTATTAGTAGAAACTAAGATAAGAGTCCCAGGTACCCCGATATTGGGGCCCTGGTGGATATTTTAAGCAATCTTCTTTAAGAATATTTACCAGCATAGCATTATGTAACATTGATTAAATATAATAAGATAAACATCTATCTTAATAGAGGAAAGATTAGATCTGAAACAACAGGACTGATTTTAAAAATTCTTTAATTTACGGGAAGTTACATCATACCCGGGTTACGTAGGCAATTATTTACATGGGATAAACGGAAACCGAACAATGAATTATAATCTGATTATGATTTTAGTATGCACGGCAGCATGTCGAGTTATTTTATTATTATAATAACTATTTAAAATTTCAAATACAGTAGGCCCTCAGGTGTGCGACCACCTAACTCTCTAGCCTTGATTCTAGACATAATATTTACGATATTATGTCGCGATATTATATCAATATTTCGTTTCATTTTACTCTTTAGTAACAAACGAAAGATACATAAAGAATAATGATTATGGATTGCCAGCAGTATTACTAATTTACTAGTATATCCACCAAAGGACCAACAAAACACATGTCAAACTAGTAACATGTAACGATGTATCGCATAATATCGCTAAGATGTTGTATCCTATGTTAGACGGTCGCACCCCAGGTATCATGTTGATTCGTACGAGTTATAGTAATTTTCATGGAATAATACTATCTTAGAGGTAATAAAAGGTTCGATATCGCATCGTCTTCCTGTGCTTTTGTAACCACGTGTGTCTATATAAAGTGATCGAGTTGATAACGCGGTGTCGTGCAAACATGCCGCGCCTTACGACTATTGTGTGACCGATAACGTTGGGAAACATTATGTATGTATATTAACGTCAAATATAAGTCGTCAAAAGGTCGGTTTGTTGTGATTTGAAATTGCTTCAGAGAATTTCATTATAGAACTAGCAGTTTTCCCGCGACTTGTCACGCGTAAATTATAGCCTATTTCATCTCAGTATGATGAAGCTGCCCGTAGGTGAAAGAATTTTTAAAATCGTTCCACTGTTTTGGGAGCTTATTCGATCCAAACAAAATCGGGAATCGAACCCGGGGCGTCAGAGTTGGCGACACCTTTGAAACCGTTGTCCGAACCACTCGGCTACAGATTTTGTTGAAATTTTTCATTTTACAGTGAAAGCTCGAGACGTCGTTTTAAATACATACCTAGGTAAGTAGTAGTACAGACCAATTGTCTGTCTGTTTCATTTTCACGCCTAAACTCCTAAACCGATTTTGATGGAAGGTACATTACATTAAAGTTAGTTACTGTCTTAAAATTCTGAGTAAATCACTTATTCGCGGTACTTACATCTCATTTATCTATATCCCCTTCGTGAATGATATCGAAACAGCTTCATAGATCGCCCCGTGAAGACGTGACACATAAATTTGTAAGTATAGAGCGAGCACGCGACCCGCCGCCGCCCGCCGCTAATAAACTCAACCCTACCGATTAATTCTTGCACCAACATACATATAGAGATAATATTACCACTTAGGCATTCGTCAGTCCCATGTATTACTTGGTTTCTATGTTTTCTTTCAGTTTCATAAGTTGACGTTTCCTACACTCGTATCTATAGTAGAGAGAAGTAATTATTTAAGAAAATATTAGAACTTAAGCAAATATTTTTAACTAATTTACGAGAATTTGAATGAACTCAAAACTTTTTAGTGTAAGACTTTATTAAAATAATTTTTTATATGGATAAAAATAACTGCTTATAATATGACATATTTTGAAGTAATTGCTTCTCTCCATTATGAGTGTTAGATACAAATAGCATTTGTGGAGGTTGATACTTCTGGTTAACAACAATGCACGAAATGGCTACCCGGCAGAGACTGTACGTTTTCTTCCAAAGGTAATTTATTTTTTTTTTGCCCTAACCTCGGGCAGCCGAGCAGACGGATCACCTGATACCGGTAAGTGATGACCGTCGCCCATGGACACCTGCCACCACACCAGAGGGGCTACAAGCGCGCTGCCGGCCTTTGAGGGTCGAATATGATCATAGGGAGGGAAGGGTTGAGGGGTAGAGGGAAAGGAATAGGGAGGGGTTGGGCCTCCGGTACCCTCACTCACACGACGAAACACAACGCAAGCGTTGCTTCACGTCGGTTTTCTGTGAGGCCGTGGTAACACTCCGGTCGAGCCGGCCCATTCATGCCGAAGCGTGGCTGGTCTCACGAAGGTGAATTCTACTTAATGCAGTCGCTGTCCAGGCCACGGGGTCATCATCATCATCATCATCAGTCGATTATGGATGAAATCGAAACGAATCGAATAGGAAGAATAAGCTATAAACGTAAACGTAAACTCAGTATGGATTGGTGGCAGTGAAGAATGCAGATGCAGCCGGGACTAACGGCTTAACGTGTCGTCAGAACGAAGGAAGATGTCGAAATTACAAATATTAGGTTACCCATTCTATGACTGGCCCTAACGCAGACCGAACATATTAACCATTGCCCCATCGAACTCAAGGAACCACAGGGTAGGCCCAAAGTATTTTTTGTACATGCAAAATTTTCGTGGAATTGGCCCTAGTCCAGATGGCATTCGGCTATATTCAGGCGAATTTTATAAACTTTAATAGTACTTCAGTTTTCAGGCGCCTAAAAATTATGCAGTGATGTGCCACCGTAGGATCTTTGGCTTTGCATTAATTGCTCTTGTTCTAATTTATATACAAAAATCATTATACGAGTATTTTCCTTTCTTATCTTTAAATTCTTTTGCTTCCTTTCTCACTTTATACTCGCCTTTTCTACGCGCTATTTCTTCCGGAGCAGGAGGAGATGTCTTTTTTAAGCGACGCATTGTCCTCCAATTGTAGTCTTGTATTTTGCTTTCAGAATAAAACAAAAATTTTCTAATCATTATTATTTTAGATCATTTTTGCATTCACAATGCTATATTGGAAAATATTTTTAATTATAATTTCACTTTCTCTATTTATATTTATACTTCCATGAAATAGTTGATAAATTAATATACCAAAAAACCAAACTAAAACAAAATCCACTTTGTCCCTGGCACTCTGAGATAGGATGGTACCGATATAGGTTTCTAATTTATTATTGTCTAATAGACAATTAGGTAAACCTATAACGACAAAACCTTTTTAAATATGATCTCAATTTAGTTCAATAAAAACATATATCACTTATATGCAATTCAAAGTTAAACATATGAATATGTTTAAGTTTGGTGGTTATAACAGCTCTATGCCTAGTCTATCTTTTACAGCGCGCTAGACGGGAGGCATAAGCTCATTTTTATAGCCCTGCCGGTAACCGATAACGCGCGCGCCCCTAACAATGCAAGATATTATAACTATGAATGCCAGATAATTGTCTTCGCTGAATACTAGGGGTGCAGATTAAATTGATTTGTGGGTTAACACTATTATTTGCGAGGATAATCGTTGCGTGGTTTTGTTTAGACTGAATGGATTTTAAGAGTGGTCATTTCATCTCTATACGATGTAAGAATATTGAGATGTTTTTGGTGATATGTTACTGTTGGATCAGCAGTATTTGCTATATTGACCCGACTGAGAACTGAACTCGGGGCCTCAGAGATCGCGACACCTTGAAATCGGTCAGCGTGGGAACCACTCGGCTACAGAGATCATCATAGACAAAAATATATCCTTTCTCTGGTCGTGGTCAGGTTAGGTCTGGACGTTTTTTGCGGACGTAGTGTTAGAGACGGACACAGCTTTCTTCACAAACTCTTGCGGTCTCTCTCTGTTTGCAGATTGTTTGACGTAGTCTGACACGCGATTTCTCTCTTCGGATTTCAGTTGATCAGTCCTGCGTATAGTTGATAGAATAATATACTATAGACACATTCATAAAAAAAAACATTGTTATATTGATTATATTCGATCAGTTTTATATTCACAATCCGCTAGCCAACTCTAGTAGGGAACTGCAAGTAGCTTTATCATATGGTGTGACTTTGTATACACAGGCAACACAAAGTCATACAGTAAACGCATAATTACTAACATGTGTTTACCTTTTAGATGTCGGACGGCCATCGCAAGGGGTCAGCAAGCGAGCATGTTAATTCACTTATATAATAAAATAATCAATACACATCCTTTTTCAACACATGATGCTAAATACAAGTTAAAAAATAGCTATTATTTCTTGATTATAATGATACAGAAACATTACTCAACTAACAGAATTGATATAGGGTGAGCTATGTCCTTCATCTCCCTCAAACAGACCGTCAATATAGAAGATTTTCTTAGTATAATAATATATTAAATATTCATAGACACAAACACGCTTCGCACATACACTCATAAATACACTCTCTCTCCTACTTTCTTTCTCACACACACACACATACACACTTATTTACTGACTCCATTGTATTGAAAAAGTATTTGAAAAAATTATGTTGGGTCTCGGATAGCTTGATGGTTAGAGCAGGTTAGAGCAGTCGCTTGGATTGCGAAAGGCCCAGAGTTCGAGTCCCATCTCGGAGCACCTGGGGCTGGATTTATTAAGCATTTTTCATTAGATATTTAAATTTTAGATAAAAAGAAGTCTAAACTTAAACAAAAAAAGTCCCTGATTATTTATTTCTAACTTTAATATTGTTTGCACGAACGGATACCAAAACAGGTTCGTGTGATAGTGTGTAAAATTCAACGTTCAAAGAACATTTGAAAAATTTGTTTCATACATCTTCAGTAAATTGTTGAAAAATGAAAATGCTAATATTATAAAAAAGAATCCCTTGATTGTTTTTTTTTTTATTTACATTAAATAATGTCCCAAACTACTGGTCCGATTTTAAAACATAATAAAGGATATAATTTACGTGGGTGAAGTTGAAGGAAAACAGCTAAATAAAAGAAACCTTTTGCGATATGGTACAATAAATTCAACTAAACTTTTTCAATAAAAAAAAAACTGCGTTTTATTATCTGTATATCGCCTTGAGCAGTCAATAGTTTGAAACTACCAACTGGCAAAGGACGAGACGTGACATGCCTTCGGGAAAACATTTTTTTGTGATTCCAAATGATACTTTCCTTCAAAGGGTTCAATCGAGGGGATTGTATTGGTTTAACACCAAGTAGAATCGAGTCCAAAACGGCGACAATACGTGACCGAGTTTTGAATGAGCGATGATTGTCGTAGCTACTAATTTTGGAAGTCTTTATGAATTTTAAGAAGGTGAAGTAAAAATGAAGGTTATGAATGGGAAAATAAATAAGTTCAGTTGCTCGATTGAGTAAATGAATGTATTGAAACAAGTTAGATGATAAATCTTTACTTATTTCAAGAATTGTGTCATTGTGAATCTTTGTTCTTTGATGTAACAAGAATTTTTTTGGAGTGTGAAATGTGTACTATTCTGCCATATATTTATTTTTATATCCATTTCAGTAGCTCGGTGGCGTAGTGGATAAGCGCCGCGGCCCGCGATCTTAGTCGTTAAGCAACTTTCGCAAGGGTCGGTCACGGGATGGGTGACCTACAAATTATTATCTCGAGCTACTCCGTGCTTCGGAAGGCACGTTAAGCCGTTGGTCCCGGCTGCATGTGCAGTCGTTAATACCCTCCAATCCGCATTGGGCCAGCGTGGAGGGTCATGGCCCATCCTCCTTAACCATCCATAAGGAAGGCCTGAGCCCCTGCAGTGGGGACGTAAAAGGGCTGGTGAAGGTGAAATGAAGATCCATTTCAAATGGATATCACAATTACAGTCTTCGTTTTGAAAACGTATTTATTCTATGCTCAGCTAAAGCAAGCACTTACGCATTTGCTCATAGTCACCGTTATCATCACCAGCCTATTGATGTTCCCATTGCTGGGGTAAATTTATATATATATATTAAATCCACCACGCTGGTCTGGTGAGTGTCAATAACTGCAAACGTGTCAATAAGCGCGACTGGCTTCTGAAGCACGGACGAATTAGAGATAAAAATAATTGTCTTCCATCTTCTGACATCCCTTGATATAATCATCGTAGACTGAATACGCTAACCATTACCAGAACAAAAGCTAGTCTTAATTTTCATGACATGACATATTAAAGTAACTTTAGTAGCTTTCCAATCGACTTTTGAGAAGTATTTTATCGCTGAATTCCTTTAAAGACCTCCTAAGACGCGTCTGAAGTAATCAAACAAACGAAAAAAAGACCCCCAAGATAGGGCCAAAACTAAATCCACTGTTTAAATTGTCGCATGCTACATTAATTGTTGTCTAACCAAATAGGCAACAAAGCAGCACGCACCTGTTCGTTATCACTGTGAGAAACAAAAAGCCTTATTTGTTGAGTTACGTCGCTTTGTCTGGCCGCACCCTTAACTGTGGGGCGAGAGGGTCTGATTAAAAAACAACTCATTCTGGCGGATGTCGAGAGTTATCTTGTTTTCTTTTATAATTATTATAGAACATATTTTATTTAGTTTACTGAATTTTATTATTACAAGCTTTATTATTAACCGAATTAATTTAATATATTTTTAAATAAACCAGCAATTTTATAATTTTTTTCAATCCCGGTTTGATGGATTTCCGTCAATATCAAATATGACACGTTAGGGCCTAATCCGTTTGTCCCCGTACATAATTCGGAATATTTGGAATAGTCCATATAATTTTGTTATAATAATTTATATGAAGATTATCTATGCACCAGAGGCGTCGAAAAATGCGTTTCTTTGGAATCCTATTATAAGACGAAATTACGTTTTCGGAAATAGAATAAGCCTTCAGGTGTCTTGTTAATTCGTACTAGTAGTAACAATATTTCCGTAAAAATGCACTGATAATCATTCTTAAAAATAGATTATTCGTATAATAAAAGTATGATTACTTGAAGAAATTATATAAATTTTGAATTTTATAGCTTTGTAATTCAATGAATTGTGTATCTATTCTCACTTAAGAGGCGTAAAGCTAAGAGACTGCCCCGCTGTCCATTTTTATTCCTAATTCAATTCAAGATATATTCATTGATTTATTTATTTGGCCAACCAATAACCTTACATGCTACGGTTTACAAAATTTGAAGTTTATATGAGAATTTATATAAGAATGGGTTATTTTTATATATTTATAAATACATGGCTATCGTTTTAACTATGGATTTGAGTTTGACGTTTCAGCTTTATTATTATCATAGCAGAAAAAATTAATGAAAAAATATCAAAGTTATGGCTACTATTAATTAAGCATGTGTCTTAAGGAATACAACTCGCCACGGCGTAAATAAAAATCTTAATAAGATCGGTCAATAAGTACGAGTAATTTATAAATGACGATAACACATAAATACTTATATGCATAAAGCAATAAAATATTAATAATATAATAAATATAATGTTAAATATTTTTGACTTTTTTCCCGCCTAGAAGTTATCCAAATACGAGAAGAAGCAAAAGCCAGTAGGCTGAAGGTATGGTGAGTACAGCCGATAACGAAGAACTTCTTTCAACTCTAGCGCTTGCAAATTGGAGACTGCCTGTCGTGCATCAGGAGCAGGAAGGCTAAGCGAAAGCTGGATAGAGATGTAAATGCGCCAGATTCTAATATTGTGTTCAGTTCTTCACAGTATACATTTGCAGTAATGCTAATACGGTATGGTAAAAAGCTGTGATGAATTAAACCAGCGTTAGAAGCTATATCTCTTTTTTAGGGTGTATTTAAAATCTAGACCATTTTAAAGGCGCTGAATCTATTCCTTTATTGTAGGTTAGTAAAAAACTAACTGAATTTTTAATAGTTGACCAATTTTGTAATTATTAAATAATATTTCTAAAGCCTGTTTTACTTATTATATGAGATCAATTTGGCAATCACAATGATAATGAGATAAAAATAAGTAATTCAGATATTTATCTATTTAATACTCATGTATATTTCACGCGCGCTATCCATAAATGAAACAACTATTTAGTTTTATTGATACTTTCAAAATAATACTAATGGACAAGAATATAATATATGGCAACGTTCACATTTATTAAATGAAACTATTTAAAAGATACATTTGATTTATTTATTTACCCTTGGCTACCGTAAATAAGTTAATAAATAAGTCAAATGTATTTTGAAAACGTCAATAGAACTAAATACAAACGTTGTTGCTGTTACAAACTGAAATCGTTTTAAAATTTGTTTCATTTATCTGTTTTAATTATAATTTTATAAATTGCCGTAACGCAACCTAAATTTGACATCTGACCAAATTATAACCAACACACTTGTGTGGGTCCATACTCCTGGTTGACAACAGGGCATGGTGTGTGGATTGGCCACCGGATGGGGTGCAACGTCGGGGCAAGCGGACCCTTTAAATAAACACACACTTGAAGTAAACAAAATGTTTGCTCACAAGTGACTCCTCGATTTGTAGAATACGCGGAATGATAAAAATGTGTGGAGTTTATTGTGTCGTTATCTGGAGGAAACTTTTTATTTGCGCTTTAGATATTTCAATCGAAACAAATAAAAAGAACATTGTGCTATTCAAAATAGTTTTTAATAATTTATTATGATTACTTTTTAACACACAAAAAACATTAAATTTTTGATCAATTTTACATTAATAATGTTATTATTGTCAAATATATTTAATGAAAAATAAATATTTATTTTGGCCGTTTCGGTGGATTGTTGTGATGTAGTTTAGTCATTTATAATTATAGCCTATCTGGTTGTAATTATTTGTACAAAAATAGTGGACAGTTATTTTTATTTGCGTACGTGGTTTCTTAATTAGACGGCATTAACATCATCTAAGCAGATTTACTTAAATTTAGACTTTATTCTAGATTTATAAGTCTGTTAATAGTTAATATAGTCTCGAACTCGTAGCGAGTAGTGTTACGGCATAGAGTTTCAATGAAACAAAACCTTTATTATATTATGAAGTTGGTTTTATTTAATTGAATTGAGTTCGAGTTCTGTTTTAATAACTGCACTGCAGAGCTAATAAATTGGAACTAATGATGTCGCGATTTTGCTGACGCATATCAATATTAATAAATGATACAACTACTGAGATAAACAAGTTTTTGTAGTGGAGACTGTGTCTCGTCCAGCGTGGTGCATGAGGCCCCCTAGTTAGGTGGAGTGATGATAGCGAAAGGTCGTTTTTGAAAGTTGGATGATAGAAGTACATGGTGCTTATTAGAAAAAAAAAAAATCAAATCAAAAGTAATAGATGCAACAAAATCCCAATTTTTACGGTTCCATACTTCAAAGTTAACAATGAACAGTAATAGAACAATTTCGTCGTCCGTCTGGTTAGTTAAATAAAGTCAATATAATAGACCACATAGTTTGAATTTTAATCGCCTTATTAAAAAACGGGATCTACAGTTAGTACCAAAATAAAACCATTGGTATATCGCCTATTGGCCGCCTAAAGTGAATTGACAATGACAGAAGACAAACCGTCACATCGGGACTTGTTGATTTATTTTGGTCGGATAATAGTTTAAACCTGGTACAAAACTTTACCTTATATAATAAGACTATTATTGGGATTGCTTGACATTTAGTAAACAAAATAGTTAAACAGAATACTAATTCTTAGTATTAAAAAGAGTATTCTGCACTTTTACTAATATAAACTCTAGCTGTGTTAAATTTAAGACGTTAATACTAATGTACAAAGTTAATTTAAATAAAATCAACAATAATTAACTACTCATCTCTACAATATAAATTAGTTACGTAATTAGAAATCGTTTAAAACCTTTTTCATAATGGTTTCAAATTCAAATGAATGAAAGTTTTCATTATCACTGCATAAATGATTTTGGATACTATTATTCATAAGGTACATAATATTAATAGCTGTTTTCTGACTTCCCTCACGTAAATTATAGCCTATGGTACAGGAGTATGATCTAACTGCCCGTAGATCTTTAAAATAAGTCGAGTCATTCCAAATATTTCCTTTTTATAATATAAGTACACTTTTGCCGTGAATAAAGAATGACACGTGAAGTTTCACCTTAAATATTTTTTTTTGTAAAAAACCGAGAATAACGCATATTTGAGGAACGGAAAACTATGACAGACTTCATTTCAAAGTAATGCATTTAGATATTAATTATAAGTTATTTCTGAGCATACTTTTCAATTTAGTTTTATAATTTTTAACAATACGTTATTTATTTAATATATTTTACACTTATATTTATTTATAATTGTGTGGAGAATTTAATTTTATATCGCGTTAGCTATGAAAGGAAAAAGATTAGTGATTAAACGAAAAAATATTAAAGAGAACTTTATTTAAAAACACATAAAGCTATTTATGATATTTTTTTATGAAAATTTTATTAGAATTTGTGCAAAAAAATTAAGTAGATATAAACATAATTTGTTCATAACGAATTTATTATTATATTTATTATAATTCTACAGATTTCAGTAGATATATAATTTGATAATTTTTTACTAAGTAGGTTATAGATTCAAAGGTGTACCCTACCTATGAATAAACTTAGATTTAAAATTAAGTGTACTGAGTTAGCAGAAGAACAAAAAAAAAAATGAATGCTGTTAGATTTCCAAATTAACTAGAACGCAGTTTTATGGTAATTTTAAAATTTTCATATTATAACTCACCTCAGCCTCTTGGCTTCGTCGATGAAGGGACGCTTCTCCATCTCCGTAAGCAGTTTCCATTCTGCGCCCAGTCGCTTTGATATTTCAGAGTTGTGCATCTTCGGGTTATCTTGTGCCATTTTTCTCCTCTGACCTCTGGACCAAACCATGAAGGCGTTCATCGGCCTCTTTATGTGCTCATTAGGTTGTTTACCGAGAGACATACTGACTGTATTTTTTTTTTATTCGAAATTCGAATTTTTAAAGTTAAATTTAATTATCGAATTTTATATTTTCGAAACACTTTTCTTGATATGTTTTTCTTTCATTTTCTTTTTATTAAAGCAGTTTGAAACTTTTTGGAATTCAATGAATGTTGGACGGTTAGATAGTGTATTATGGACAACAGTAAAAGGATATCAAATTATTTTAAATCAAAATAACAATGCATCGCAATGGTGAAACCCGCGCACTCGCGAAAAGCTCCCGAAAGCTCAATGCGGCGCTTTTCTCAGCAGTGTCATGTGTAAAGTGAGTTCGGTGAGGATCCCCCCGCCATGTGCCCCCTCTCGAGTGGCCAGCCAATCAGCGCGCGCCGTGGGCGGCCTCTGGCCCGGGATTGGCCACGGACCCGATTGTCTCTGGCGCCGGCAACAGGTAGTCTAAGAGTCGGTGTTTGCATGTCTATTAGCGAGATTAAATTTCTTTTTAAACCACAATCTTGGCTGCGGCGAAAAAGAGCGCGCCAGAATTGAAATTCGATTTGTGGTGCCGTTTTGCAAGTGTTTATTACTTTCTTTTTCTGAATCCGCATTGCGATAAAGTTTTTTTTTTTAAGTTTTTGAATTAAAATTTGCTGTGATGTATGTAATTTTTGTAGTTGACACTTGAAATAGATAATTATGTTGACTTTGTTTATATATATTTCTAGTTTATTTAAACAAAAAAAGTATCGATTTAACTTTAAAATCAACTAGAGATTTTAAAGTTAAATCTGATAACAATCATAAATATTTTAGGGCCTGCATAAAAATAAAATACAAAATAAATATTTCTCTCTAAATGCATTATTTTTTCATTTTTTTTATTAGCTATACATAAATAGCAATCTTTTAATGATCCTCCTGCTCAAATGGCTGGCACGGTGAGGTCACGATGATATCTGGTTCAATAGCTACAGTATTTCACTTTGCTTAGATAATCGTATACGATCCATCATTATTACTTTTTTTTTATACTTTGAGGTTCATAACGTGTATATCAGCTATGAATGGATGAAATGAATATCGCATTAGCATACACAAGACCGTAGTTGCAGACAATCTGCACGTGAATGGCCACTAATGGAGGCATACTCGCGTAACTAAATTAAGCACATCTTTGACTCGCCAGCTGTATCAAGATTCTACCTATGTCCTAACATAAATTATACTGCTGTCATCTGTTACTTCAATGTGAAGTGGAAGAAGAAGCTGAGAATAAAAAGAAACTACTTTTTTCTAACAGATTTCCACAGCCCTAGTTGCTGAAGGTGGGATTCAATTCTATGATAACTGTTGCAATTCTCTCGATTGCTCTCACAATATATGTATTAAATAATATATGTAGTAACCAGGGTAGTTTATTTTCATGGAGTTTAGGTGATTCAAATAGTAGTTTTTTGTTTCCCGAATGCCAGACGGTTCTTAGCCCAACATTATTAAATAATTATTTACACGACATATAATTAAATACATTTTAAGTACCTGTAGTACGAGTTTGTCTTTAAAAACCATAACTTAGTTTTCGTTTTAGCCAAAACTAAGTTATAGTTTTTTAAGACAAACTCTTTATTCTATTTGTTTACTATATTGTTAAAGTCTACGTTGAAATTTTATGAAACATCGAATTACTCAATAGAACGACCTTCACAGCTTTATAGTGGTCTCTTTTACACGTTTATAAAAAGAAAAAGACAATGATGTGGCGACCCCGTACGTCTTCTCGAAAACTATCATTGTCACATTTTGTTTCCATAACACAACCGCGTCTCTAACGGAAACTATAATGAACTAAAAATGGTAGTTATCGAATAGTTTTCGAGTAAACGGCAGTATGAGTTACAAGTTCACCGTCTTTGATCATCATAATCATCATCAGCCTTTTATTTCGTCCCTACTGCAGGGGCTCAGGCCTTCCTTATGGATGGTTAAGGAGGATGGACCATGACCCTCCACGTTGGCACAATGCGGATTGGAGGGTATTAACGACTACAAATGCAGCCGGGACCAACGGCTTAACGTGCTTTCCGAAGCACGGAGTAGCTCGAGATAATAATTTTTTTTGAATGAATGAATGAATGAATGAATGAATGAATGAATAAATTCTTTATTGTACACCATAAATTATAGAGAAAATACAATTTATACAGTTTAGTTGTACAATCGGCGGCCTTATCGCTAAAGAGCAATTTCTGCCAGGCAACCGTAGGTTAGACTGGACTGTTACTAAATAGACGGGTAGTAGATGGTGTCTTACATTGCGAGAGAAATATACCTACATATATACATACAAATAACATATACATACCTCTACATATAAATATAATATACTATATATAATATAATATAATAAACATATATAATATAATATAATACAATATACATAAAAACATTTAAAATGAAACAGTACCAAGATAAATATAACAGGATGATACGATAGCATTTCTTCCTAAAGTGATAGATAGTATTCCTTTAACATATTTTTAAAACACTTTAATGAAGGAGCGCGCATTATTTCTTCAGGTAAGGCATTCCACAAGCGAACAGCCTGAACTGCAAATGACTTATCAAGGAATTTTGTGGAGTGCACAGGCACCTGCAGTTTTAGGTTCTCCGATGATCTCAAAACTCGACAGTGCGTATCACTAAGGAACTTGAAGCGTTCCTTAAGATAAGTTGGTGAGAGAGGATTGAACAGTACACTGTAAAGCAGGGAAACAATATGTGCATTCCGACGAAGTCGAATTGGCAACCACTTGAGCTTAGTGCGAAAATCAGATACATGATCATACTTGCGTAACCCAAATATGAATCTAATACAAAAATTTTGAAGTCTCTCAAGTTTATTCAGTTGCTCCTCAGTTAAGTCTAGATAGCTGACATCGGAGTAATCCAGTATTGGAAGAAGAAGGGATTGTGCGAGCGCAATTTTAGTGGCCACAGGCAAGAAGTTACGTAGCCTCTTCAAGGAACCAGCCGCAGCAAACATTTTCCGACTCGTCTGCTCGATCTGTGGTCCCCATGTCAAGTTTTTATCTATAACTATTCCCAGATTTCGTACGTTATCACTAGGGATTAAAGCAACACCATCGAACAAAATTGCAGGTAAACATGAGCGGTTGATTTTACTTGTCATTGCGGGACTGCCAACAATAATGACTTGGGTTTTCAGTGCATTTACTTTTATGCCATAGGACTTGCTCCAGTCACAAATTATTTCTAAGTCACGGTTCAGCGCATTAATCGCTAGAGACAGTTGATCAGGACAAGCTTGGGAATAAACTTGTAAATCATCTGCATAAAGGTGGTAGGATGAAACTAACTGGCGTGAGATGGAGTTGATAAATATAGCGAAAAGTAATGGAGATAAAACGCCACCCTGCGGTACACCAGCGGAAATATCACACCAAGTAGAAAAGGAATCCTCAATGCGTATTTGCTGTCGGCGCCCAGACAGGTAACTACGAAACCAGTCAATAACTGCCGGAGATATGTTAATAGAGCGCAATATGCCAAGCAAAATGTCAAAGTCAACGGTGTTAAATGCGTTACTGAAATCAAGTAGAGAGAGAACCGTAACTTTACCATGCTCCATTCCTGATCTTATATCTTCAGTTACATTCACCAGTGCAGTAGTAGTACTATGACCAGCGCGGAAACCTGATTGGTAGGAATTAAGGAGTTGATTTTTGAAAAGGAAACAGGACAACTGGTTGTGAATAAGGCGTTCCAGGACTTTGGAAAGAAATGGTAAAATGGAAATAGGCCTATAGTCTGTGAAGGATAGTGGTTTCGATTTTTTGGGTAACGGGATAACGGAAGCATCTTTCCAGGCTGAAGGAAATATACCCGTGTTTATGGATTGATTAAGAATATGGGAGATAATAGGAAGGATTTCGTCAAGGATAAGGGTAATCATTTTCCTACTGATAGAGTCCACACCCACAGCACTGGAGGTTATTGACATAATGCTCTTCTTAACATCACAGTCAGAAAATTGATGAAATGAAAAACGTGGATAGTCTGGGCACGGAAGAGATGAAAGATAATCCAAAGTGTTAGACTTGCTTGTTAAATCAAGGCCATGTGAAGACGAGAAGTGCCTATTAAGGGAATTAATATCTAAATTACTAGAGGTAGATTCTTGACGCTGTTTTCCTATGCCCAGAGATCTCAGGAATTTCCAGACTTTTGCTGGATCTTCGACTTCAACGGAGTTGTGAATAAATTGGCGTTGTGCACTCCTACACACCTTATTGCATTGATTGCGAATTTTAACATACTTTTCCCAGTTGGAGGAAGAAGGTTTACGTTTGTACTTATTTTTAGCAGCAGCCTTCCGCTCTGACAAACGTTTAATGTCATCAGTAAGCCACGGAGATGGTCGTTGCTTCATTTTCACTGGTCGAATAGGGGCGTGAACATCATACAACACTGTGAGCGCTGATATAAAAAGATTCACTTGTTCATTTACAGAGTTACTGTCGAGAAGCTGTGACCAATCAATTTTAGCAGCATCCTCGCAAAGTTTCCTGTTGTTAATACCATTAAAATTACGCTGCAATAGAATTTTCGGCTTAGCTTTTGGTGGGCGGATCTTGCATGAGAGAAAAATCAGGTCATGATAAGAGAAGGCATCAGCCGGGAGTTGACCATGTTTAGCGACATGTTGAGAAGATGAGACGATGATAAGGTCAAGAAGCGAGGGAGTGCAGTTGGGAAAATTATGGGTGGCATTCAAAGAAGGTAAGAATAAATTATTAGATTGGAGAATCGAATGAAAAGCTGCTGAACGGAAGTCATTTTTAAGAAGACAAGTGTTGAAGTCACCCATGATAATAGTATGACTGTAAGTAGGACAAAGGGACTCCAATATATTATCAAAAGAAGAAAAATAGTTTATACGAGAAGAGGGACAGTAATACACACCGAGAAGTGCTTTAGTATGGCACAGGCTAATCTCC